AGCACTTTTTTTTAAAAAATAGTATTTTTGGGTTATTGGAATTTATTCCATATACACCAATCTTATACATGGTTATATATATATATATATATATATATATATATATATATATATATATATATATAGATAGAGAGAGAGAGAGAGAGAGAGAGAGAGAGAGAGAGAGAGATATATATATATATATATATATATATATATATATATATATATATATATATTGGATTCCGTGAATGGAATCCTGCACAAATAAATAAACAACGCCAGTAATTGAGATAGAAAAATAAGTGTATTAAACGTAAGAATACAGACTTGAAGTGAAGATTAGTAGTCCAGGAATGCGGGTTAGTAGAAAGTATATCTACAAGCTTCTGTAAGTAAAGCCGTAATCATCTCTCTCTCTCTCTCTCTCTCTCTCTGGACTCTTGTGTAACTCTCTGAGAAAACCCTGTGTCTGTCTCCGTATCACTCAGCCTATCTCAACGTATCTCCACGTATCTCAGTATTTAATATTACATCCACGAGGAATATATGTGGCACAAGGCCGAGTTTAAAGTGGTTTTCTCCGAGCCCGTAGGCTCAGCCCCAAAATATACCATTTGAACCCGCCTAGACGGGTTCAGGCCCTGTCTACCTCCCCGGCAAAGCTTCGTCCGGGTTCCTCTCCGACAAAGCAGAGAGTTCGACAGACGTCGAGACTGTATCTCGACGCAAATCAACTGCAGGTATTCTCTATGTCAGTATAAGTATACTTTGGACGAGTCCATCTTATTTAAAAAGGGGAGAGCCTCACAACAATATATATATAGGGAGAGAGAGAGAGAGAGAGAGAGAGAGGAAGGAGAATAAGAAAATATATATATATATATATATATATATATATATATATATATAGGTAACTATACTCGTTTCGAAAAACCTTCGAATTTTGATTTGCCAATAATCAAATCAATCACGAAGGAAAAAAGGTTTTAAAAAAAGAAAGAGCTAGAAACATGAAAGTCTGTCGAAAACAAATCGCACAGATACAGGTTTGAAGCCCAAAGAAAAAAAAACCCGACACGAGTAAACAACTAACTCAATACAACCGTAGAGCAGACCAAGATATACCTAGTGAGCCAGACAAACCTACCCAGGTTTCACCTAAATATACTGTTTCTCTTTTGCCTCTTTAGCCAGCTTTCCTTGACGATCCGCTTAGGTGAAACCTGGGTAGGTTTGTCTGGCTCACTAGGTTTATATATATATATATATATATATATATATATAGGGAGAGAGAACGAGCGAGAGAGAGAGAGAGAGAGAGTAAGGAGATTATATATATATATATATATATATATATATATATATATATATATAGGGAGAGAGAGGGAGAGAGAGAAGTGATAGAGAATGGCAATGCTTCAGTTCTAAAACTGAAAGCGACAGATGTAATATTTAATATTCATTGGACTTTCAAATTGAGGCTAATTTCATTTATCTTGTCACGTATATTTCTATGGATTTTCATTGTTTAGCTGACATTTTGCGGTTGTCCGACGCGATTCTTTTCGCTCGCACGAAGTAATTTCACGAGTCATAATTATAAAATAGTAGCATAATAACCGTAAAAAATGATTGTGTTATTTACGTATGGATGAGCATTTCTGTTTACGATCACCGAACACCAATATTTAAAAATAATTTTGAATTTTTTTTTATTAGTGTATAAACATGCCAATGTTTGTAAGTATGGGCGACCATACACGACATTATCAGAAAATAAGTGCGATGACTATAGCAAATTTAAAGCCGAAATTTCTAAACTTCAAATAAACATTATATTACGGAGAATGCGTTTCTAAATTTTTAAGATTACTGACTATTTAAAAATTAAATAAAAAAGGCTCTAGCATCATTTTCTTCAATTATGTTTTGCAGATAGACTCAACGTTCAATCTGTCATCACGCTGTCATATATTCAGCTACTGTCGAATTAAAACACTGTTACTGTCTGCATTTTTGCGATATTTTAAACTTAGAGTAAATAATATTTGTTTCAAATTAGTTTAATTATACTGTTGAGGAAGACAAAAGTTATCCCCCCTTCGACTAAACCTAAAAAAAAAACCCAAAAAAAACCCTAAAAATAGATAACCTTTAAAAAACTAAAAATAGATATATAGTTAGTCACGTGAACAGCTCGAGAGATCGTTCGGCGCGAAAGTCAAACATCGTCTTTGGTTCCTGGCAGTCAAACCAGAAAGACGTACTTATTCAGGCTGGTGACTATCAACTTAAGATAAGTACTCAAGATCTCCTTCTTTTTCAGATATCAAATCTCTCACAAAAACATATACACACTTTGTATGAACATTTCAAATATATATATATATGTGGCACCATGCATCCGGACGATTTGAAAGAAATATTTATAGATATATGATTTGCTTTTTTACGGTTTATCAACCCTTTGATAATTATTTAAGGCCGAAAAATATTTTAGGTTTTAAGAATAATTCTTTCTTTGCATTCAAGCGATTTGGGAGAAAGAAAGAGAAAACGAAGAAGAAAGAAAGAAAAAGTAATACGAGACGAGCCATAGGCGAACGCACACACACACACACACGGCTTAAGAGACGGAAAGGAGGAGGAAAAAGGTTATAGTTGATAGGTATCAGATGTCGAAAATATCTAGGTCACCTACGAACAAGCGTTGACCGATTTCCGCTTGTCCACGAAAAATGGGATTTTGTTATCAATTGGATGTCACCCAAAAGAAGAAATCCATTGTTGAACATTAACGAAACACAGACAGTCTTTCCTGTGTTAAAAAAATCCCACACAAGAAGTTTTCACTGGTTAAATCTTTCTTTCTTTTGACAGAATAAACGTTTGCCCTGTGATAATAAAGATTTTTGTTATCAACCCATGGGCCGAAAGGAAAATGAAATATTTTTATTTTTGCTTTAGAGACGCCAGGTAGGCTAGGAAAATTTCTTTCTTAGATCATGTCCAATTAGCGATAAACTGCTTGACAAACGCCACGTGTTAAAGCCGAGAGTGTCACATCGGCCGCTCATGATAAGGGCGATTTAATTAATTTTTTTTTTTAGTTAAGCAAGGTATTTCTTTCCCAAAACAAAGCCACGGGTTATTCACGCCCGACTAAGACGTCATTGGCCAAGTGGGTCACATGACGCACGAAGGAGGAGGAAAGATACCCGACCAGGACCTCATTGGCCGAGAGCGGTCACGTAACGCACGAAGAAAATTAGTCGACGCCTCTATCAGAGTGTAAGTGTGAAAAGCCGATACGAAGAAGTGGGGAAGTTAGTGCACGCCCTCAGAAGCAGAGTGAGAGAGTGGGGAGAGAAAGGAGTACCAAAAATGGAAAAGAGTGGAAAATCCCTAACCAGAAATAAGAAGGGTGGATACGTATTTAGAATTATCGAAGAACTCCTGGTGCCGACAGACCCACCCCAGTTTTGACGGCGTCAATAAAAACGAAGCCCCACCAGACAGAAATCAGTTTTGAGTTCAGCCGCGGACCCTGGCGAGAAGTTTTGAGCCCCGGACGACAAGCAGAGATGAGCGCCCAGTGTTGAAACCGCATCAAGATAGCTGACCAAGATTCACGCACACTTCTGGACTCTTCTTCAACCAAGAACAAGTAGTTTGAACAGCGACTTAGAACCAGACCACAGAAATAAGTTTTTTCGACTTTCGTCCAAAGACACACCGAAACACAAATTTCTTAGAGAGTAGACAACTTGAAGCGTTAGAATTTGCCTAGCGAAAGCGTCGTGCCACAATCCACAGAACGGGTCGGGAAGTAGACATAGTCCTATGTACCGAACAAATAGACATAAAAAGTTTGTTACCTTTTTCTTTGATACTTTGAACTTTGTGAGTTTTCATTTTATTTTCTTTTATACATATTTGTGTGTTATCACCCCCGTTGAACTCAGCTTGCATTACGGCCCCAACCCCTGTTGATCTCGTCTGTTTAAGATCAATTCACAACGTGGGTAGGCAGGCTGGAGATCAGTGCAGTTACCCTGGTAACCAGGCGTTGGAAGCAGGTTGGGAATGGCGAGGCTGATATCAAATCTAACCAGATTCCTACCCGAATCACCAAAGGGTTAGAACGTCACGTTTGGAGCAGCGACACCCGGACGGAGCGGCGAGGAGCGAACAGCTGACGCCGCAGCGAAGACGTCACAACTGGTGCTGTTTAGGGAAGTCACAACTGGCGCCGTGGTAGATCAGGATAGAACCTCGCAGTCGGCGCGCTGCGGCCGGGGACGACGTCATATATATATATATATATATATGTATATATATATATATATATATATATATATTCAATTGATGTTATATAAAGACTTATGTGGATATTTTAAATTTTTCTTATGTGTTTATGTTATATTGCTATTCGCTTTATTAATAAATCCAATAGCCCGCTTTCTCGCACAACAATACTTTAAATCAGCTAATATTCCTCAAATAAATTTTCAGAAAAGTATATTTTCTTTATGGAAGATTTCTTTTAGAGAAGATAATTACATTGCTATGAGAGACGAGTAAAAACAGCTATTTTAGCAAAAATCAATCAATCAATAAATAAATGTGAAGACATTATTTCCAGTCAATTTAAATTAGGTTTTGATATACAACAATGTATTTTGCTTATTGGAAATATTAAATTTAATGTATGGTGTGCAAATAGTGAACAACTAAACTGGGGTCAAAAGATTTCACAATTGAGAAAGATTGTGTATAAAGATACACAAGAAAAAGTTACCAGCAATACACTTTTTGGAAGCAAAAAAAAAAAACATAAATAAAAATAAAAAATAAAAAAAAGCTCATAAGAAAAACAAAACGGCTTTAAATGGCCCATGAGAAGTCGATGTACCGTTAAACAAACCAAACCAACCGAACAGAAATCAAAGACGATAAAGAAAAAAAGAATTGTTATTCATCATTGCATATTGTAATTTAACCAGTGCTTTTTATTT